TTTTTAGAATTTTTTATTAATTATCCTTAGCTTACTCCTATTTAAACTCCTTAGCAAATACCAAATCATGCCTGAAAAATACCTAAAAGAAAATTTGGAAATTCCAAAAAAAAGGAGAAAACCCTAATTCCAATAAACCCTTGTTTCTTTAGACCCTAAACCCTACTCCCATGCCTAAACTTTCAACCCTAGAAATTTAGGTGCATAAAACCTAACCTAGATCTAGGCCACTAAACCATAGAAAAGCTAATATCAAGATAAACCTTTCTTAGTCAAATTTCAGCAAATTTCCAATTAAAAGCCAATATCAAATTAAACCTTTCTTCGTTAAATTTGCAGTGTGAAAAGAGAACGCAATGGCGTAAACAATTCGTGGTCTTAATATGGGCCCCAATTCTGGGTTTCAGGTGGCCTACGCAGATTGGCTTGGGCAGGTAAATTTTCCATCTATCTCTTTTTTTTGGTTTTTAGTTATTTAAGATCTGTTTGCATTAAGTTTAGAATTGTTTTTGGTGTAGAAAATCAACTGGCACCCAACAATCTGAGGTGGAAATCAATCTATCGACATTGACTTTTTTTCTTGAGATTGTAATTCGACTGACCCAACAATCTCTACTAATTTTCAATATTTTAACTAGGTTGGAGCTTATATCAGAAAGGGTCTCTTCATTGGAAACTCTTTCGGATTCCCAATATATTAACAAAGACGCCTAGAAGATATTGAAATGCTTTTTTTTATTTTTTTATTTGAATATGAAATGACTAAAGGTGATTTTTTCTTTCTTGAGAAAAGAGGTGGCCTGAAACGGTCCTTTTTTTTTAGCCAGATTTAGTGCTTAGAGACTATGTTTAGGAATTATGGCAATGCCCCCTTATGAAAGTGATTTTCCTAATTCACCTTTACTCATTTGATCCTGTGAACTTAGAATGACAACTTTCTTTTTTTAGACAATACAACATGATTTGGCCGCGAAAATCAGCTCGACTGCCCTACGGTGGGCACCAAACTATTTACAACCAAATCTGAGAGAGTTTCCAATGGAGAGACCCTCTTTGATTATGAGCTCCAAACTAGTTAAAATATTGACAATCAGTAAAGATTGTAGGGCTGGTCGAATTACAATCTAAAGAAGAACAGTCTGTCTTGATAGATTGATGTCCTCCTTAGATTGCTGGCAGCGCCAACTGATTTTTTACGTCAAAAACACTTCTAAACTAATGCAAACAGATTTGAGAATAACTAAAAACTGAAAGAGAGAGGGAGATGGAGAACTAACTTGCCCAGGCTAGTTGACCTGGGACAACGAAACTCGGAATTGGGGCCCTTATCAGGGTCGTGGGTTGTTTATGCCATTGCGTTCTCTTTTCACATTGGAAATTTGTTGAAATTTGACTAAGGTTTATTTTGATATTGGCTTTTATTGGAAATTAGCTTGAAATTTGACTAAGAAAGATTTATTTTGAGATTGGCTTTTCTAGGGTATAATGGCCTAAATCTATGCTCCTAGATTTCTAGGGTTGAAGGTTTAGGATTGGAAGTATGGTTAAGGGTTTCCTAAACTAGGGTTTACTGGAATTAGGGTTTTCTCATTTTTTTTTGGAATTTTTGGATTTTCATTAATGTATTTTTTTTTGGCATGATTTGGTGTTTGTTAAGGGGGTAAATAGGAGTAGGTTAAAGATAATTCTAAAAAATGGCTTTAGTTATCCAAAAAATATTTATACTTCTCAAAAAGTCATAACTCACCACAACAGCTTCAAGAAGCTTCCAGAAAATCTTGGGGCATTCTGGAATTTCTGTAGGGACCATTCTGGAATTTCTGGTAAATAATATTATCCAGACCATAACTCTCAATTGGTGAATCGGATATAGGCGATTCTTGGATTGTTGGAAAGCATATGATCTCTTCTTCAATTTAGAATCATATTGAACCCAATTTGGTTGATTTTAGAGGGGTCTAAAGGGATAGGACTTTTGGGAGTCGACTCTCTATCTCAGGGTGTTAGATAGATGTCCAGGTTGGTTTTCTATGTTTATTGCGCTCGGGACTATCTATGATGATTATTTTAGGGCTTGAATAGGTCTGAAGTTTGTGTTTTATATTTAAAAAGGTCACTTACTAGGCTGTTGTTTCGAGTCTTTGTCTCAAGGTGTCAGATCGATGTCCGGGTTGGTTTTCTATGTTTATTGGGCTCGTGACTCTCTAGGATGATTATTTTAGGGCTTGAATAGGTTTGAAGTTTGTGTTTTATATATAAAAAGGTGATTAGGGTCTACTAGGCTGTTGTGGTTCCTAGGGTGCAAGAATTTAGGAAAGATTAACCAATTCCAAAAATGGGGTGTCTACAATTACAAATAGAGATTATCAATTTTCATTAGGATTTAAGAGTTCACAATGGACAGAATATGATACTAGATGGCATGGGGTCCGAGCACCAATGGCTGGGGGGCTGGTGTGTCGACATAATGTCCTAGGCTCCATTCCCACCATTAACACTTAAAAAACAAAGAAAAGAAAATGATATTAGAGGGGGCCCTTTGTATGATGATGAGATGGATACATTCAAGGACTCCAGAAAGATTTATATCATGGAAAAGCATTGGTCCCCTAAAGGCCAGCTGTCAAACCCCACACGTCCCCCCCCACCACAAAAAAAAAAAAAAAAAAATAACCGCTTCAATTTTTGCGGGTCTCAGTGACATTTCATTTGCCACAATTTTGATGCACACATCCTCTTCGACACACAAAAAAAGAATGTTTGAAAAAATAACCTCAATGTTTTTTCGTTTTCTACTGCACTAGATGACCTTAGACTGTCCATCTAAAGGCCGACCTAGATACAACCCTTTATGTTTCAATGCTGATATGGTGATGGTGAGGCAAGCTACAAATTTTGGAGTCAAACAAATCTTCCTAGTGCCTCGATCTAACACCCATTTTATTTTTTTTCATTCTCGAAATTGATGACCTGTATTCATTGTCTTGTCTCTATTTAAAATAAACTATTTTTTGGATTTTTTTTTTAAATTTCTTTCATGAGCTTCGTCACAAGTCCAAGATAATGTCTATACCAAATTTGGGTGAGACAAATGCTCCTACGGCCCCCGAAATGAAGGATTTTCCCCCTATATTATTAATAAGAAAATTGCTTAGATAATCTTTTGCAGCTGGTGCACTAAGGGTAATGATTTATGCTTAATTCTATAATCTTTATCTAATAAGGATATTTGAAGTTCCTTCGCCCTAAACTCTCAATCAGTTGCCTAAGTAGAAAAATAGCCTCAGTTGTTGTTTCAGAACACTCGTTTCATTCCTTAGTTGTTGCTCAGTCACTCTCTCCTAGAGCTTCATAGTATGACTCATAAGCTTGATCCCTCGATTGTTCGTATAATTTTGCATGTCTCACTTGTTTTTGTAAATAGGTACTATAATATGTTTCCTCCGTTGTCTGGCATTTTCTTTGTTCTCAACACCTTGTTGAACAACTTCGTCAGCCAGTCAATACCAATTTCCCTCATGTATTTCCAAATCTCAATTGGGATACCATTTGGTCCCAAACCCTTTTCTATCTTCATTCTTTTCAATGCTTCTTTCACTTCGGACATCCTAATCCTACGAATGTATCTATGACCTCTGTCCTCATTTGTACCAACAGTTCCTTCTACTGCTACGTTCCCATTGTGTTCGTCATTTTATAATTTTTGAAAATAAACTCTCCACCTTTCATTGATCTCGTCATTCTTCCACCAAGACCTTTTGATCATCACTCTTAATGCATTTAATATGGTTTAGATATCTACACTTTTGCTCTTATTTTTGCATATTTGAAGACATATGTGTCACCTTCTCTTGTTCCCAATTTATTATATAGATTATCATATGCCTTAAGTTTAGCTTTACTTATTATTTCTTTGGCGTCTTTCGTAGCATTTTTATATTATTGTAAGTTTTGATCGTTTCTATTACACTGTCAAGTTTTATAACATGATCATGTTTTACTAATGGCCTTCTAAATCTCATCACTGAGCCACCAAGTTTCCTTATCAGAGTCTCTTTTCCCTTTAGATTCTCCTAAAACTTCTTTTGCCACTTTCTAGATGCATTCAGCCATCTCATTCTATATTAGATTCAGAGTTCCATTTTCCTTCTTCAACTAATTTGTCCCTTGATACGTCTATTTTCACATTTTTTAAATTCCACCACCTAGTTCTTGGATACCCATTGCTATCAAATGCTATTTTAAGCTATTGCATCTATATTTAGCCCTTTTCATGATTGTCCTGGTGACCTTTAGGTTTGAGCTATTGCTTGAGACTTGGCATCTAGTGATCACTGGTGGGGTGATGGTCTTCACAAAGTGGTCAACGACTAACTTCTTCAAGAATATATGTAGGGCCATGAGGGAAAGTTTGGATGGAGGAATGCAAGATTAGGTTCTTAGAAAGATTAGTGCCTACATCAAATTCAACTTGCTAAAGACGTGCATATATGTGTGGCTGCTGCTTCTAAAGTGTAACTGCAGTAATTCCTCTTTACTAACTGTTTAAAAGTGAAATTAGGTGTAAAATAAGTTCTTCTCGCATCTAAAGAGTGCATGCTAGAAAATGTGCATCTGAATGCGCTCGCCTGAAGTTCCTTCGGGTGGTGTTCCCTTTTCTTGGCCTTTAAGAGGCTCTAAATCTCTATTGGTGTTTGGGCGTCCGGTAATGGCTCAGAGTCTCGGAAGATCTAGACCTTCCAAAAATGTTGAAGTTTAACTTGTTGAATAAAGTTAGATACTTCTCACATGCAACTGTTGTTATGGGTTGGATGGTGTAATTAAAAAAAAGTGGATTTGAATACCACGATAATGAAACTTTTCCATAAAATGTGCTGCATCCTTGTTGATTTCTTTTGCTATAAAACATGTTGAATTATTCATCGTATCACAGCAAATGAATCCCATTGCTAAGACTACCAACTATGCACGTGGTTGACCTAATATGTGATGTTTTGCAGAGACTGGGGAGTCAGTGCTTGTTATTAGGGGGCCTCAAGGAAGAATAAATAGAGCTGTTTGGGGTCCCTTGAACCGTACTATAATAAGTGGTGGTGAAGATGCAGTTATTCGTATGTGGGACTCAGAGGTATGTTTGACTGTAACTATATTGAATTATCTTGGGGTATGTGAAATCATAGTGTATCTTGACCTTGTAATGCATGATTCTTTCCGTTATCTTGGTCTCTGGCAGTACTGAATTAGCTGGAGGAATCTGACTTCATGACTTTTATCATGAAATGAGTGATTCCTTCCATTATGTCATTTTAGTATTTTCTGACTTCCTGCGATCTAGTCTTTTGTCATCCATTATCCCTGAATCCATTGTGGCATATTGTAGGCACTCTCTTTGAGTCCTTGTAGGCTAACCAACATGTCAAAATCAGTGGGAATGCAGTAAATGCATCCCTCTCAAATGAACACTTAATGTTGGCTTCAGATTGGTGGGGTTGCATTAAATGCATCCCTGTCAAATGAACCCTTAATGTTGGCTTCATGTTGACCTTGATTTTAAGATGCTAGATTCTCCTTGAAAAGAGGGGTTAGAGTCTAAATTCACACGTCACTCTTGTTCATTGATAGACTACAGAACCATGTTTTTGATATCGTTACCCCTTTACCCCCTGAATGTGAAAATACTGCACTGTTCATTAAAGTTGACAATAATTCCCAGCCTGTCTATCATTACATTCCTAGACAAATATCTCGAGAAAGGTTGCTTGAATTGATTTCATACACATGGGTGACAAACTATGAAAATTTTCAAAATCAAAGTCAGCCAGTGATGCAGTCAGATTCTAGAATGACAAGAATGCCTGATGGAACAGTACAAATAAGTTTTTGAACTCCAAGACCTATTGAAAATCAAACCAGCGAAATTTTCCCTACCCAATTTCAAGGACTTCTTGAAAAAGTTCCAGTGGTTGCATTTGACAAAACAGGGAAACCAATTTACGAACAGAAAACTTCTGATGGTCATAATTGGTTTGATACTTGCAATTGTTCCACTTGTCTTCAAGATGATTTTGATGAAATACCAAAAAACGAAAAATAAAAAGAAGATTTCATCTCAACAAAAGCTTCATCAGAGATACATTGAAGGTGATCCAACTGTTGGATTACTTGGTGAGAATTCAGGAAAATGGGATTATTATGTGACTTATGATAGTCAGAAACCTAAAGCCTCTGTGTCAGAAATTTCAGAAATTATCCCTACAGGATGGGATGATCAGAATGATGTTTCTGAAGAAAAAATCACATTCCATAATGCTTGGCTTTTGACCCTCAAAGTTCAAATTATGCCTCAAATTTTCCTCCATTACATGTCTATGAAAAAATCCAAGACAATGAAAAGCATGTATGGAAGATAAAAAATCCCAGTATAAGAGATGTCACCGGAGCACAAAAGACTATTTCTCCGGCAGAAGCAAGCCTAAATTGGCAAGTTGAAAATGCTAAATCACAGAATTTAGTATTACTTCGACCTGAAGAAAAACAGAATGTTATGTTTTCACAGTTACAAGGATTGGTTGGTATAATTATTCAATTGAAAGAAAAAATTCAACTGTTGCATGAAGAGTTGATGCAGATTTTATATACAGTAAAAGATATTCATGAACAATCCTTTTTACTGAATCAGAAAGGAAAGGAAAAAGCATTTTTAGAAAAACAGTTGCAGAGCCTTGAAAAAGATCTTTGGATGAAGTCTCAATACCCTCAACCACAATATCCTTCCCAATTTTAATTGAATCAGAAAGGAAAGGAAAAAGCATTTTTAGAAAAACAGTTGCAGAGCCTTGAAAAAGATCTTTGGATGAAGTCTCAATACCCTCAACCACAATATCCTTCCCAATTTTAGCCTCTACTTACCAATCCATACACTCATAACTACCCTGCTTTAAGAAGCCTTGACCTTTTTCCACCCACTCGAACCCTTTACCCACCTATCGGTTTAATTCCTCCAAGGAATTTTGGTTTTAGAGCTTTAACTTCATTTGAAGATGAAAGACGTTTCCCTAAAGAAATGTTCTTTCCCCTTGCGGAAAAAACTAAATATTTCAGTACCTAATTCTTCACAAACCCCAAAACCTAAACCTTCTGTTACTTCACCACCTGTAACAGATCACCCACATCCTAGTCCTCAAATACCTAAGATGAAACCCAAATGTTTCAGTATTATGATACTGAGTCAGATATTATAGCCTCCTCAGTCCCAACTCAGATATTAACTTCCTCTGAGCCCTTGAACAACATGAGTTCATTCCTAAAAAACCTGCCCAAACAGCCTGAAGTAAACCTTCAAACTGAAACACAATCTCTGAAGAATTGTCCGATTCCTCTGAAACATTTGAAGGTAAATCTTCTCCTTCTTCTTCAAATTCTTACAATTTGCTTATGATGAACCCTCCTGAACCACCTCAAGAACCAGACCCTTTTATGGAAGAAGAATTTAGACCTTCGGACCACCAAGAACCTGAACCTACCCCAACCTATGGAGATTCATCTAAAGGGTTTACTATTGATGACATTCCACCTTCAAGATGGAATGACAGGTTCAGAGAAATTCAAGGATGGATGCATTCAGAAATGCTTAATGCTGCAAATACCTTAGCCAGTACCATTTCTAAAGTCATTGTAAGGCTAAGAGGATGCCTTTTTGATTGGTACATAAGTCTTGGAGAATACCAGCAAACACAATTAAGAAATAGTCAGTCCATTGTTGAGTTTCTTAATTATTTGGTATCTGAATTCTCAGGCCATATTAAACATGAACAAATTGCTGCCCGAGAAGAATTTTTTTAGCTCAAATGTTGTTCATTTAAGAGACAAGATCTTGAAAAACATTTTCAGAAATGAACAAAAGATACCATAAAATAGGAGGAATTGATGATATAAATTTGAAACAATTTTATCTTGAATCTATACCTCCTACTCTTGGTAAGGAAGCAACAAAGACGATGGAAAATCAGGGACTTACTATTCAAAACACCAGCTTTGGTGAATTATATCAGTTTATTCTCCATGCTCTTGAAAGACTTTGCAATCAAGTTGAATTTGTGAAACAAATAGAAAAGAATAAGCATTTACTTGGAACATCTTGTGATAAACCATATCTCAAGATTAAATGTGATGCAAAAAAACAGTGTTCATGTCCACCTGCCTCGAAAGGGAAAAAGAAGTTTGACCAAAAGAGAAAAAGGAAGAAATTCAAAATATTCAAATATCTTCGACGATCAAGATTTCGAAGACTCAAAAAAGGAGATAGATGCTATGTCTGTGAAAAGAAAGGACATTTTGCAAAAGAATGCCCAAACCAGAAAAAGAAAAAAAAGATAAACATCTTTTGTCACAAGTTTTAGAAGAAGAAATCGATGATGATTTAGAATCTGTGTTTTCTCTTGATGATGAACAAAGCCCAGATACATTGATATCCATTTCTTATGCTGATGATTTTGAGCTCAATGAGATAAGCAACACCAGTGTTCCAGAGATATTGTCTCTACAAGATGAAATTTCAGACATAAGCAGTTTACCCTTTCAGCCTACCTCAATAGCCCTTGTTCAGATACTCCAAGAACACTATTCCAAGCCTTTGACCTTCTTGCCTTCTTTGATACAGGAGCATCAGCTACTATTTTGACACCTGATTTACTACCAAAACAGTTTTGGGAAACATGCAACCAAACTTTTCGAGCTGCTAATGGAGAGAAATTTTCCATAACCCAAATTAGCAAGCCCATTTTGATTAAACTGTTTCCTAAAGTAGTTATCCAACATAAACTCTTAGGATCCTATTTGCCAAACAAAGACATTTTACTTGGATTTGATGTTTTACATCAAGTAAAACTTCAATGGACTTCCAAAGGATTACATTATAGGAACCTAACCTTGCCCTGGATAGCCAGTATAGATCCTCCCTACACCCTAGATACCTTGTGAACAATTTACCTCAGCTAGGAACCTTTCTTACATGATTGAATAACATGTTGGACTCATAAGGTCTTGCATTGATTATAGTTCTGTAAGCTTGAGACTTGGGTCATTTAGCGACCTATGAACTTAGGTTGCCCCATCATCTTGGACCTAAATTTTCTGTTAATATGTTACAAAATATCAACTAGAAACTCATATGAGCTGGTTATTGACTTGGTTGATTCACAAGAGCAGTTGACTTCAGTGGAGTACTTGAGTCTGTTGATAGTGTGAACCATAGTTGTTGGGATCGGGAGCGGGAATGGTATCGGGATCGGGAGCTAGGGATCGTGAAATGTTAGAAGATCCCTATGGTTGGGAACGCCGTCCGTACAATGCACATGTTAGGGATCGAGATCCCCAAATGTTAGGGATTGAGATTCCAACCTTTTAGGGATCTTGATCGCGACCTTTTAGGATCTTGATCCCAACTTTTTGGGGATCTTGTTACCAACCTTAAAGTGTATGATAATCAAGGATTATGTATACTCTTTAAAGTAGGGATCTCATTATTTATAACAAGCAAGCAATATTGTGTTGCTAGTTGGCTATAAACAAAGAAAATCATCAGTTTGGTTGGCGTCTTAGTCTTTAAGGTTGGCATCGAGATCCCAAACAGGTAGAATTGGGATTATTATCTGTGGGGTACGAGATCCGAAAATTTAAAATTCGAGATCCCTAAGATATCCGTTCCGGGAGCGACATAATCGAGATTCTAGAAGGGATCGCCTACCAAAGTAAGAGATCCCGGTAACTATGGTGTGAACTGTAAATTTCAAAGCATTGCTCACCGTACCCTTGTTGGTTATGGTTATGGGCTGATATTCCTCTGTTAGAGGTTACAAAGTGAGTTGGTGTATGTTTTCTAGTAATTTCCTTGTCAGAATGTTCTCCTATTTGAATTCTTAGTTGATTTTCACACCATCATTGTTTATATTTTGACATCTATGTGGCGGAAGTGGTTTACTTTGGTAAAATTTGAAGTTATATTATGCATTAGATACTTTTGTTACAAATGTCAGTTTTTATACTTGAGTTACATGTAATGTGGCTTCTGAAACATGGTTTCAGTTTGGCAGGTCATGCTGTACATATCATGAGGATGGTACTTCTTATTTGGATATTATAAATGTACTTTCTGAAATACTTTGAGTTTAATGTATGGGCATCTTCTTGACTTAACAAGTTGTAGTCATGTTTTTTTTAACTCTTTATGGCCTGCTCCTCTAATCAATGGATGGGATGGACAATGCAATACACAGAGTTCGTACGGCTGTAAATTGTCACTCGCTTTACTACTATAATGAAGGGCAAGAATCATTAAATCTACCCATTTCAGGTTTGGGATATTGTTTAGACGGCTGGGTCTTAAAGTTGGTCAAAGCTTAATCCAAAGACTTATTTTTGGAGTGTAATCTCATTTTTTAATAAATACTTTCAAAGTGTGATCAGAGTTAGGATGTCATTAAGGTGCCTGAGCTAATATCTTTAGCAAGACTCTGAAATTTGGCTACAGATCATTACATTTCCTTTTTGATATGACACTTGAATGCGTAGATAAAATTTTGGTGTCTTTCTACAGCAAGATGATGATACCTATTCTTTCAGAAGAATAGGGGTGATAATTTTGGGACTAGAGGGACTTGAGCTTGGAAATTTTATGCAGCATCTGATGACTTTGTGTTGTAGTTCTAATGATATGTACCGGCTTTTGTCTTTTTGTGATATAATTCTTGAAGTTGATTTGTGTAAGACCTTGAAGTACAGTTAGGAATGAGCTTCAAAAGTCATTACTTGCATTACTGCTGAAGTGAGATGCTATCTCGTATAAGGAATGATTTTATGCTCCTTATGTTGTCTTCTGAACCATTTATATCTTCCTTGATGCTTGTGATAATTATGTTCTGTGTTTGTCTTTGCGTCTAATACTGTGGAAATGTTTTTGCAAATTTAGACTGGAAAACTGCTCAAGGAAACTGATAAGGAAATTGGTCACCAGAAGACTATCACCTCACTATCTAAATCCTCTGACGGTTCACACTTCCTAACAGGTTCTCTTGATAAATCAGCCAAGGTATTAGATCTGGTCTTTGTGGCAATACAGTGCAACATTTATTTTTCTGTTTTGTCTGACATTATGCTTATATTTTCTTTTCTTCAGCTCTGGGACGTCAGAACCCTTACCCTTATCAAGACCTATGTGACAGAACGTCCAGTCAATGCATGTGCTATTTCTCCACTGCATGATCATGTATGTAATCATGCAGGCTTATTTTTTTGTTTTTTTCTTGTCATAAAAGAAAGTCAGGGTGCTCATCAAAATTTTACTTTTGGCAGTCTTCATGATGGTAATCTCATTCTGAGTGTTTGGCTTATTTGTGTTTTATTAATCTTTATTAGTTTCAATTGCAATTTAAATTGCAAATGTTCATACGATTTGTTTATGCAGAATCCTTGAAGGCTCTCAGGTTATTAATATGTTTAATAAAGGGAGCGTTTGAGTCTGTACAAGGAAGAGCCACCTCCTAAAAGTAAAATTGTTTCTCTAGGACACCTATGTAATGTCATTTTTCAAAAAAGAAACTGATAATGATTAGTCTGTGGTAACCCTAAAATAGGAGGACGAAGAATCTGTAGAACTAGAGTTGTACATGACAAAGATTCAAAGGGCAAGTTTGTGAAATTTAATTTTGTAGAATTTGACTTTGTGAACTCTTCTTACTTTTTCAAGATTCAAGGTGCGTTCATCACGTATATATAAGACATGCATCAGATAATTCTTGTTCTTTTTTCAGACTTATTCCTGCAAAACTAGCTCTAATATTCCACTTTGTCAAAAATTTGAGTGAGCCACTTGCATCCAATTGAGACCGATGTAAGGTATATTGGAAAATGATGGAAGCATCCAAACACCCTTAATCTATCAAATTGGGACACTTAACGAAATTTTTGTGCCTTTGATAGAACCTATAGTTATCATCTTTTATATCAAGGGAAAGTATATGATGAGACCATTTACCTTTGGTACAAGGTGGTCACAATTATCTTGACCATTGGATGTGAAATTGGGTGGCTGCATTTATTTCATTGACCAAGCTCAAAGTTCAAAAGGAATTTTCTCGAACTTTGTGACACACCCAAGCTATCAGATTTCACATCGGTTGGTTGTAAGTAATTGTGATCTCCTTATACAAAAAGTAAATAGTTTCATTGTATACAATCCAAATACTAGTTGGCTAGGAACAAGTAATGGGATTCTTATTTCATCATTGTGTTTTTGTAGCATAACAATATGATTATGATTCCTTTAAATTGTTCAAAACTCATAACTGCACCAATGATTTGAGTGTTTACAAGATGTGTAGTCTTTCTAGTTTTCCTTCTCCATGGGAGATCTACTGTTGGCAAATGTTCATATGGGAATTGAGTAGGTCTCTGATCTTTACTGTCGGTGGTCTTTCATGGATGTTAGAGAAGATCTGTAACTCCATCAAAAGTCCATCTTGTTCATCTAGAGGAGCTGGAGATCATCTCCAACATCCATCATTGGCCATCATTGGTGTGTTTGGGGGTCTTATGCATCTTGTGGTGTCTCATAGGATGCGAGAGTCAGGAATTTGGAGAGTCAGGAATTTGGACTCTAGTGGAGGCAACTCACTTGGAATTGGCCTTGCACTATGGTTTCCTGTAAATGAACGACATCAAGTGCTTACCTTGCTTGCCGTCACTTTTTGTTTGACATGAAATGACTGTTGGTGGTCAGGAAGCATTACATGTGAAAAAAGAGATATCATTTGCTCACTCTGTCCCCTGTATTTTTAAACAGGTTGTGATTGGTGGAGGTCAGGAAGCATCACATGTGACAACAACTGATCGTCGTGCTGGGAAGTTTGAAGCCAAGTTCTTTCACCAGGTGTTTTTTCCTACCATTGAATATTGTTGTTTCTTAAATGACATTCCTTATATATAATACTTATTTGATTTGAATACACATCAAAAGATGGCTCACCAATTGGTTCTTGTTTGACAGATTCTTGAAGAGGAAATTGGAGGAGTGAAAGGGCACTTTGGACCTATAAATGCATTGGCATTCAATCCTGATGGGAGGAGGTCTCATCTCTTCCCTTTCTTTAATTCGTTTGCACTTCTTTTGGACATTCTAGTGCTGGCTTATGATTTCTGAGCTGTTCCTGGTTTTAGACTAAGCTTAATATCCTCAAGTGAATTGCAGGGTTCACAATTAAAAAAAGAGGATATATCCTCACGTAAACTAAAATAAAAGAAAAAAGATAGTATCTCGGGGGTTTCTGGTGTAATATGGGTTTTGATGCACAATTATTAGAATGGGAAACAAATTGAATTTGAGTTGAAGAGCAGGGGGAACTAGAAAATGGGAATGGGAAGAGAAATGCTTGGGAAAAGCTAGTGGAAATATGACAGGGAAAAAGAGAAGGGAAACACCATACAAATACCAGACATGAACAACTATTGGTAAAAAATAAAAAATACTGGACTTCTAAAAAAGGTGTTTTTGCATGACATGTATGGGGTTAACACTCAGCCCCTCCAGTTAGTTGCCATAGCTACCCATTTGTGTAAATGGGGAAATGGACTTCCTGTCTTTACTACCTGGGAGGAGTTATCCTTCCCCAAGGTTGTGGGTTGCTTTGCTTAATGAAAGAAGAAAAAGGAAACAAGAACACAATCTGCAAGTTTGATGTACTCTTAAGAGGATAGGGCTATTCTTGGGTAAAGGTGCAGGGGGCATACATTATTTTGGTTTGTTATTGTTAAAAGCTTAGTGCTGGTTTTGAGAACGATATAGTTTTTCTTCTATGCCTTGGTGGATTTCTTGCCGATAAAATTATGACAATACTGAAATTTGATCGAGACCCTGTGTTCAACTTTTGAGGGCGTTGTAAGCTACTTATTTCCCATTGGCATTTTGGTGGACTGTGTTAGTGCGTGATGCATGTTTGCTTAATGAGGATTTGACTCCATTTTCACTTGGTTGTTTTTTGTCTCCACAGTTTCTCAAGCGGTGGAGAAGATGGCTACGTGAGGCTGCACCACTTTGATGCCGACTACTTCAACATTAAGATGTAAATCATAGCGGGATTACTATTTAGCTAACCAGGTTTATTGTCTACACTATCCCTGCTTGGATTTTTGTCGCCCCCTTTGAGGTTTAATTTTGTTCATGAACCATGAGTATAGTACATTTTTTATTTGAGAAAGATCATGATGTGCCAAGTCATTGGTCTTATTGATTGCCTTTTTTTCTGTTATGGGAATGTATTTGGTGAGCCAGCAGATTTCATCGGTCTGCCCTTTTGAATGGTTTTTGGACCAGAAATGCATCGCAAATCACTACAAATGCATTTTTGCATCAGATCTATGAATTTGGAGCTTCGAGAACAACCATGTAGATATGATTATCTTTGAAGAAATAAAGACACCAATGGTTATGAGATTTTTTATTTTTGGTACAAGGATGTCTCATTATTCTTAGCCATTGGATGTGATGTTTAATGGATTGAAGTGTATCGCAACATTTGAGAAATTTTATTTCAGAAATACTATTTCCAATTACCCGATTTCACATCTAATGGTCAATTATAGTTGTGATCTCTTGTACCGAAAGTAACTAGTCTTATTATATACATTTTTATAACAGTAACGCCCAGAGAATGTATAATGCAACATTAGGTTATCTTTGAGGCTTAGAATTTATCATTTTTCTCAAATTAATGACCGTGGTGATTGAGCTATTGCTGTAAGATTTTGGACGGACCTGGATGGATTTTGGAAGGGTGTTTCACTGGAACAAGTGCGTCTCCACACGTAATCCGTGCCCCAGTTTTTGCATCTAGATGGTGAAACTTTCGGAACTCTGCACGGGGAGTAGATTTGTATCTATGAACAAATGAATCAAAATTGGGTTTAGGGATGCTTCCATATCATTTGCGACTTAGATTGGAATTTGTATGCTTGACAGGGCTCTAAGCACCAAGTGTATAAAAGTTGAGTAAGAAATCCAATTGGATTTGTGCTTTGTATAACCAGTGTTTGATAATGCACCCACAAAGCGACACAAAAAGACAAAAAATATGATATACTCTTATTTACTTTTTAGTACGAGGTCGCAATGATTTTAGTCAGGGTTTTGAAGGGGCTGTTTATGTCATTGTCAAAAATAAAAAAAGATCTCGAATTTTATGAAAGTCTTTTATTTGACATCCAATGATTAGGGGTGATTTTGACTTTTTTGTAATCATGGTAAATGGTTTCATAATATACATTTTTATTAATAAAATATAATTTTTCAAAAAATAAGATAAATAAAAATATAAAAAATGTAAATTTTGATTTATAAAAACTCAAATACTCCATTTTTGGGCAAGAATTGGCTAAAAATCATGTCCTAATTGATGGGTTTCAAATTTGTGAAAAAATATATTTTTCATAAAAAAGAAAAGAAAAAACTATTTCTTTTGGATATGAAAGCAAGTAGACCTTTTTTGGGTTGGATTTGGTGAGATATCCATACTAAACTGATGGATTTCAAATCCACTAAGCACAAACAAAAAAAAAGAAACTTTTTTTATTGAAAAAGAAATTGGACTTAGATAATTCAAAAGACATAAAAATTAGTATTTCCAAATATGCCGTACATATCGTGGGTTAGAAATAATACCATGTATAACAAAGCTAACAACTTAGTAAGAAAAAAAAAAAAAAAAAAAAAAAGGGTAAAAAAAAGAAACATGATATTTTTGGAAAGTCTCGAGGTTTTTTTAGAGAAATAAAAATCATTGCTTTAGACGCCATATTTCTTTGAACAAGGTTTCTGATTGGATATATTGTGTTACATATTGTGTAGTGTCAC